CACGAAAAATATGTATTCATGCATGTTCTGTATACAATTTATTACACTATTTATTACAAATATGATAACTTCATGTTTGTTTACATAATTATATTTCTAAAAATGACTTAAATATTTGTTATTTTTATAATTTGTAGTCAAGTTTTATATTTACAATTTAATGTTATTTTTAATGCTTTTTAAATAATATAACAATGAATGTTTATTTTATAGTTGTAAATGAATATGTAAGTTTGGTCATTTCAAGACAAGTTTTAACAGATGTTAGCAATCGATTATTACTTTTACCTGATGAAGTGTCAATGGCTATTTCACATTATACATTAGATAAGGTAAATATTTTTATTGATTTGAAATATATTTAATTTATAACTTTTATAATATAAACTATAATCTAATAAGTTCATTTATTAATTTTTCAGATTCAACCAAGAGTTATTTCATTTGAAGAACAAGTTGCTAGTATAAGACAACATTTAGCAAAAATTTATGAACGTAATCAAAATTGGAGAGAAGCAGCTAATGTTTTAGTTGGAATACCATTAGAAACAGGACAAAAGTAAATATAAAAATTGTTATTTCATTATATTAACTTAATCAAAATTCCTGATTAATAAAAATATTAATATAATTGTTTTAATATTTATCTCTCAGGCAATATACAGTTGATTACAAACTCGAAACTTATCTTAAAATTGCAAGATTGTATTTAGAAGATGATGATCCAGTCCAAGCTGAAGCATTTATTAATAGGGCATCTCTTTTACAAGTATATAAGAACCTGAATAATTATATATTATATTAAGCAACTAAGTTAAATTTATATATTATATCCTTTTTTTATATAATTTTTATATTATAATTCTTTTAGGCTGAATCAAAAAATGAACAGTTACAAATTTACTATAAAGTTTGTTATGCAAGAGTATTAGATTATAGAAGAAAATTTATAGAAGCTGCTCAAAGATATAATGAATTATCATATCGATCTATTATACATGAAGATGAACGTATGACTGCACTTAGAAATGCATTAATTTGTACAGTATTAGCTTCCGCAGGTAAGCTTTTATATTTTTTATATAACAAAAAATATATAGGTATATATTTTAAATATATAACAATATATCATTATAATAATATTAGGTCAACAAAGAAGTCGAATGTTAGCTACATTATTTAAAGATGAGCGCTGTCAGCAACTTCCTGCTTATTCAATTCTTGAAAAAATGTATCTAGATCGTATTATTCGACGTTCCGAATTACAAGAATTTGAAGCCTTATTACAACCACATCAGAAAGCAAGTACGATCGATGGATTAGGGTCAACTATTCTTGATCGTGCCGTTATAGAACATAACTTATTATCTGCTAGTAAATTGTATAATAATATAACTTTTGAAGAATTGGGTGCTTTGTTGGAAATTCCACCGACAAAAGCAGAAAAAATTGCTAGCCAAATGATCACAGAAGGTCGAATGAATGGTTATATCGATCAAATCGATTCTATTGTACATTTTGAAAGTAAGTTAAAAGCAATAAATTGGTTATTAAATATTATATATTTAGTACAAATATCTTTTATCAATAATTTATTTTTAAATAGCACGCGAAACTTTACCAACGTGGGATAAACAAATACAATCTCTTTGCTATCAAGTAAATCAAATAATAGAAAAAATTGCTCAAACTGAACCTGAATGGATAGCAAAAGCCATGGAAGATCAGATGGTACATTAATATAAATTTTTTTTTAATATTAACAATATACATACAAGATTGAAACAAAAATATCAGATAAATATTTGATACATACACAATTAAAAATATATTTGAAGGCAATAAAGATTGTTACTATAACTCTATAGTGATGCTTATGCATTACAAATGAATCATTAATTTTATGTATGTTAATATGCATGAAATCAATTTTTATATGATCAATAAATAAATTTTAATTTTTCATAATATAAACAAAAAAATTAGATTTCATCATTATAGTTACTTTATTATTTATAAAATTCAAAAATAAAATAAATATAAAATATAGAAAAAAATTTTTATTGATAAAAAACACTTAAAGTCATTTGTTTAACATTCACCTACAATTGTTATAAACTTCACGCAAAGCATATTCCAATTAAAGGAATATTGTAATTATCTCATGTAAATAAAGCATTCACACTGCATATAAAATAAAATTTTCTTTATTTTATGAATTAATTGAAATTTAATTCAGATTTGATTGAATACTTAACAACTGTTGTATAGAAGAATAAAATTGTATGAGTACAAACCTCTTATGCATTACAAGTTTGCTACATAAAAAAAGACTGGAATTATTTATAATTAAAAAAAGTATCTATCTTAATATATTATTTTAAAAATGTGAAATGTTTATATAAGATGTCAGACTTTAAATTATTGGAATCTTCATACTGAACATATATTTCATAATAGGTTTCAACCCTAAAATAGTTACATCGGCAGTATTATTTTATATTAATTACAGAGGCAGAAATGAATCATTTTGTAAAAGAAAAGTAATTGTATTTTATATTTGACATTATTTAATTTCAAGTCCCTGTATGTAATTATTTATTTAATATAATATTAAGTGCAAGTATTTTTACAATAAATTCGATTATTAAAACTATTTGTATAGCTACCAAATGTATCATGTGCAGCAAATTGTGTATTCTTATTTAAAAAATTGAATTTATAATTATTTTGAAACTTGATAACATTTATTATTAAATTAAAAAATATATTTGCAATAAAATTTAAACATATTTTCTTCCTAATTTAATTTTATCCGTATTTATAATTAATATTATTTATGTGTTTATATTTTTTGTAATTAAATTCAAATTAATTAATCTTTGATTTTATAAGACTGTATATTTAACAGGAACTGGTAACAGGCTGCACCAATCGAATATTATAAGAGAATTATACACAAAAAATAATACACTTCTATTTCATTTAAGAATTTATAAATCGTATTGTTCATGATAAGATATTGTTACCATACCGTTTTCATACATATTATATGTGGCATCTATTTTGGGATAAACCTATTTATGTTATAGGCAATACTTTATCTGAAGCATGTAATGTGATACTGTTTTATGACACAAAGATCATAAAATGATCCTTAAAGTGAATCAAGTCCTTTCGTGTCTGTAATCATATTTAAGCTTGAAGATCTAATGCAAGACCAATCTTATGTCCACCAGATCCAAAATTCTTTCCATCAATATTTGTAGAAAGTGTCAAAGTTACACCTAAATATTAAATTTAAATATTTATTTATAAAGTAATTAAAAAAGAAAAAACAAAATATATTTTATGAATATTTTAAACATTATTTACCATCACGTAATTTTTGTTGATATCCCAAACCAACTTGAAGATTAGAATTAACTTTAGCTCTAATAGATGCATCATTATCAAGATTATATTTTGTAGCAATTCCAAATTGTGTTACATTATTACTTGAATTCCATTCCAAATTAATTGCACCTTCTAATTCTGGTTTTACTTTATGATAAATGAGGCCACTAAAGTCACAGCCATTATTCCTAAATAAATCAAAATAAGATATTAAAAAATTATATTTAATTAACATATTTAAATTACTTTCTTTACAAATATTTAATGATTATACATACACTGCTGCATGAAGGGTAAAGTCTGAAGCAGTATATCCAAGTGCAAAATTGTTCTTTGTAAGTTTGTTTCTTTGTGTATCAAAACAGGCCTGATAACCAGCTAGCCAACCTACAATTTAATCATAGCATTTTATAATGCAACATGTTTCATTCATTCTATTTTATTATATCACAATCTTACATCATTTTTTTCTGGAATAACAGGATACTGGGAATAAGAAAAGGAAAGATTTAAATGAATTATAAGAAATCACATGGGAACAATGACATCAAAAATATCAAATATCAACTTCTGTACTAAAAATAACAAATAATATATTACATACTATGCTAAAAATAATTTAAGTTTATATTATAAATAAAGAATATATATTCTTACCTTGATATCCTACAACAGTTGATGCATTTACCAAAGGACCAGTAGAAAGACTAAGATCAAAATCAGCAGCTGCAGACACATTATCATGTTTATAAGCTGTCTTTAATTTTCCAGTTTTCGTCCTATAATAATAAAATAATTAGATATTTCTTTGAAATAATATTATAATAATAAAAGTATAATTTATTTTAAGAAAATTTCAAGTATTGATAAATAACTATAAAATATTGATAAGATTAAATGATATACTTATTTTACCCAGTTTGTGGAGAAAAAGTACAGCCATAACCAAGAGTAAGACCTTTGAGCAATTTATCAGCAAAAGTAATATCAGTAGCAAGGGTATTATCAGTATTCCATTTTTCACTAAATTTTAATCCATAATCGTCAATATTGTATTTAGTTTCTAAAGAACCAAATACTTTTCCAGTATCTTGATTAGATACTCCACCACTAGAAAATTCTACACCTGATTTTGTTTTTGTTTTTACATCTAATTTAATTAGACCAAAATGATATCCACTGGAAAATAAATCTCGAGCACTTTTGCCTAAATCATTATATGATGGTGGAGCCATGATCTATATAAAAGATTAAATAATTACATAAAATTATTAAAATTATTATTTTTATAACAATAATATTATATTATATTATATATACACATATAATATTATATATTATTATTTTTATAACAATAATATTATATTATATTATATATACACATATAATATTATATATAATATATGTATATTAAATATAATTATTTATTTTATTTCATTACAAATAATGAATATATTTTCATATATAACATTTATAAATGAATTTTAATTATAATTTTTAAAAAATATATTTTTAAATTATAGGTAAATATATAAAATATTAAAGATTAACAGATTTCTAATATAATATCATCATTTTATAAATCAATTTATAAAATTTATATTATTGATATTATAATCATAATTAAATGATTGATTAAATCTATCATAAATATGATGTATCTATAATATATTCTTTAAATAATAAAATATATGAAAAATACGATTTAATTGATCAAAAACTTTTAATAATACATAGATAATATAATATTTATTAAAAATAATATTCAATGCATATTTCGTAATATTTAATATATACATATAATAAAAAAAATAAATATCAAATTATTTAATTGATTTTTAAAAGATGTATTAGAATAATAAATTATCGAATTGAATTAATAAAGTTATTGAAAAAAATAAGAAAATATACTAAGTAACAATACATTATTAATTTAACAATAATATAGAGCAAAAATGGAGTGATATTGACTTGTCTTAGTATTACATAAGGCGTAAATCAGTGATTTCCAATTCTCATAAATAACTTGAATTTCATATTATTATGCATGAAAATATGTTTGTTATAAAAAATAAAAAATTATTATTGATATCATAAAAATATAAAATATTTAAATTCATATAAATTACAAAATTAATAAAAACGGTCTCTTAAAACACTGCTAGACGACAATCGACATTATCAGCAACTCATGCCGGCTTTATGAAAAATTTTTTGTGAATTATGTATTTTGAATGTAAGAATAGAAAATCTAATTTAAAACTAACGTGTACGAATAATATGATTCATTGATACTTACCGATGTTTTATGTTATAAGACACAAGTGCAAAAAAGTGTGTGACTTCGTTTCGAAGTTGCGTACGTGAGACGATATGTGAACTAGGAGAGAAAGATGGAACCTGCGCGCAACTGAGCTTACGCCTGCGCAAATTAATTTCTAAACAAATTAGAGTCTATTTTTATATATAAATATTAATAAAATATATGTATAAAATTTTTTTATATAAAAGAAAATATTATTAGAAAATATAACTTTCATCAAATAAAATACATTTTGTTATTTAATTTTTATGTTGATTTACTTTCTAGATATTACGTAATCTTAAAGATCACCCTCATAAACATGGATTTTATACATATCCTGATCATCTGGTATCACGTATTGAACGCTAGATAAAAGATAAGAATATATCAAGAAAAAAGTATTTATCTTTTTAAAAGTTATCTAATTAAATACATATTTAATTTATATGATTATCAAGTATTAATAAATCATTAAGTAGCAATTAAAATTATTTTTTTGGTATTAAAAGTTATATATAAATTTCTTTATATATAATAAATAATTTAAAAGAACAAGTTGCTGTTGAAAGCTTTATATTAAATTCATGTATTTAGAGATAATAGTTACATATTGTAAGTAAGTGAAATCGTTTTTTTATAATAAAAAATATATTAAATTATTTATATACAATAAATTTTTGAATTAATATAATTAAAAAGAAAAGAATATGACATAAAGCATTTTTTCACTGATTCTTTATTATAATCACCAAATTATATTCAATAATGAATTTTTATTATTTCTATATATATATTAATTCTTAATATATATATTATTTCTAAATCTTTTAATTATAAGAAGAGAATTACAAATTAATGTTTATTATTCTAATAATTATATTTTAAATTTTCGATCATAATTCATTTCAGTTTGTCTTTAAGTATATTCTACTTATAAAGTATATTCTACTCATTATTTTGTCACGTAAAATATTAAAAATATGATGTAAAAATTGAAATATATTTATTTAAATATTTATATTATTTAATTATGTAAAATAATGTTATTTTTCAATTAGTTTGTAAAAGTATTAAAAAAGCTAAAACTGCATATATATTTTTGAGTCTCAAAATAGATCGGTAGCTCGATTCAGTGTGTAGCTACAATTTCTATGCAAATCGAGACTCTTCCCGAAAGACGATGGTCATATCTAGATCATATTTTTGGCAATCTTCACGGAGTAGTATATTTTTAATAAAACGATTATATATATAAACGTCACTACTTAATTTTTAGTCTGTTTGCATCCTTTGACTTTCATAGATCGTGCGATTCGATTTGAATGCGAAGAAAGCGTGCAATATAACAAACAAATTTGAGGAAATTGTTTTGGCATCAATATTAATTAAGTGTTAAATCAATCATGTCTCAAAAAGACTTGGTATGTATTAAAAATAATTACATTGATTAAATTTCATTTTTCTATAAATTAACTTTATTTTTTTTAAATTATTT